TTGATACGGTGTTTTATAATAATAAAATGATTTTATATTCAATATATCTTTTAATTTGGTTCATAAATAAAAAAGTACTTACATAAATAACCACAAACTAGAGAAGGGATTTTCTGTGTGTCACGCAGTTACATGTACTGCATGTGCGTGGAAATAACTTATTATAGAACATAGCAAATGGAGGTGTGGAAACTGGATAAAAAATAATGTTTGTTCAATTAATGAATTTTTGTAAATCATTTATATGGTCACACGTTTACAATTGATTCCAATTATTTTAAATACCGGGTATTGAATACCAACCATAGGTGCTTGAAGCAAACTTTTTTATGTTCTATATGGGCTATATATACTGAGTATATACTATAATCTTAATATACATATATATAATATAGGCCGATTATGTAAACTATTTGATAAAGTGACTAGCCCCTGTGATGCCAAATGTTTTCAAACATTTTTTTTCCAAAATGAAAATCACACCAAATTACCTCCCTGTGTCTCTAACAAATACTGCCGAATTTCGTTGTAATCTCGCACGTCTGCTAAGTGGGTGTTAACCCTTTCCCCCATGAGCATATTGTGAAAAATGGCCAGTTTCACTGAAAAGCCTCCTCTTACAAGTCCAAACTGCTATGAAACTATGAAAAATGCTTCAATACTAATCAAACTTGGCACAAATGTTGACTGGAATTGCCTTTGTAACGACATGCTCAGTCTTAAATTTACTGTTACCATGGCAACGAGGGGACATCTCAAAATTGCCAAAAATCACTATTTTGCCTCGATTTTTTCCATCAAAATTTATTTCAAAGTGCTGCAACTTCTCAAGGGATTGAGATAGAGTCAAAGGCTTTTCAGCGTTGGTTACACGTTACCTTATGATCGACCTGGGGCCATTTTAAGCCTCTCACAAGTCCAAAATTTTCTTGGCGATAAGGGGGACTTCGCCCCCTTCAAACCCCCCAAACAGAAGGGGGTACATCCCCCTTCTGGCAACCCCCTGGTGTATTTTTTGGATGCGGGCGGCGCCGAAAAAGTGGTCACTTTTTTTAGCAACATTTCTCAAACGAAAACATGTTTTCGGCCCAAATAGGACATTTTTTCACTATTTCAGGCCTAAAAAAGGGGGGGGGGGTCGAAAGTGCGTTGTTTCGCGTATATATGAGGTAAAGGGTTAAGACCCCTCAATTCAGATTTTACAAGAAAATTTGTGTCAGTGTTTCTTTGTATGAATTAAATTATGATTATAAAATGTTAAACTATAATAATTATTCAGGTTGTAAACACTATAATTTGCTTATTAAACCCCGGTATATTTTGAACGGCAAGGACGGGATTTAACCTAATCCGTAACCTCATAATTGCAACAACAACACTAAAATTAGAATGGAAAATGCTTTAAACTTTATAGTTACTAGTCATTAGTTGTCTTTTATAGTTATATGATAAAAGAAATAAACAAATTGTTCAGTTTTCATAGTTTATTTATCTATAATCCTGATCGATGACACCACTAGTTTTTTTGTCTTTTTTGGAACACGTATCATATTTACCCAGTATTTTTGACTTTGAATTGCAATCCAAGACCATAATTACTTATTTATATAAAATCTAACATAATCTTTTTGTTTGATTTGTTTAGATATTGATAGAGTGTCAGGATGGCACATCAACTTCAGTTAGAGAAGGAAAAATACAGACAGTGGGTAAAGGCTGGTTTAGGACTTGGATATTTAAAGGAGGGACTGGTACCATTCTGTAATGACATAGCTGACCAACAACATAAGGATATTTTACAAAACATTCGGTCTACAAAGTCACTACCATCAACTGTGACATGTGGGGGCTGTCAAGTTGAAACTCTCAAGCCAGACCATAAGCCAGTACCTGGGAATGCTGGAAACAAAATCTGTCCTCTTGGGCAAGTAAAATGCAGCTGTTGTTTTAAGGGCAAAATTGCTTGTCCGAACAACATATGTGGCGCCATCTATGATTTTATTGTGCAGCATCATGCCTCCACGCCACCTGCACCTAACTGGAAAAACAGCGATGCTCTACAGTGGGTGACAGATCCTTGGAGCATTTGTAAGTGTTTTATAAATGCTCCAGGGTACGAGCAGAAACAATCTGCTGGTGAAACTGATTGCACTGGGCTATTACATCTAATGATAAATAACCAGTATTTTCATAGCCACATTGGATGTGATGTGTAACAAACAATCTTTTTACAAACTTTGTCTTCTTTTTCCCCAATTCCAAAAAATCCATATCCCAAAGTCGGTGATTTGAAAAGACGGTAATTTTTAGGCTCACCTGACCACGAAGTGGTCAAGGTGAGGTATAGTGATGGGGCTATGTCTGCGTCCGTCGTCCGTGCGTCGTCAACAATTTTGGTTTTTAACAGTCTAGCAGTCACAGTTTTGATTGGATCATCATCAAACTTTGTCAGAATGTTTGTCTCAATGAAATATAGATCGAGTTCGAAGATGGGTTATCTCGTGTCAAAAACTAGGTCACGGGAGCTAAAAATAGAAAAAGCTTGTTAACACTCTAGAGGCTGCAGTTTTTCATCCAAATATTCTGAAATTTGTCAGGAAGGTTGTTTTGATGATATCTAAATCAAGTTCGAGGATGGGTCATGTCCGGTCAAAAACTAGGTCACAGGAGCTAAAAATAGAAAAAGCTTGTTAACACTCTAGGGGCTGCAGTTTTCATCCAAATATTTTGGAAATTTGTCAGGAAGGTTGTTTTGATGATTTCTAGGTCAAGTTCGAAGATGGGTCATCTCCGGTCAAAAACTAGGTCACAGGAGCTACAGTACAGATAACGCGGAATATGCAAACTCCTGCGAGTAACGAGTAATTACAAAAAGCGTGACTCCGAGTGGATTATAAATCTCTCGTACACAAAAGAGTGACTCCGCGTCGATAACGAGTGAACTCGGGACTCCGTGAATCTCCGAGCCAAAAAGAGTGACTCCGAGTAATGGTATGCTATATTTATTCATTTATTAATATAATGCTCTACCTTTAAACTAAAATCCTTGAAGGCATATACATGTTATTATTCATTCAAAATAAAAATGTTGTTGAAAATTCTTCATTTATGTAAAGTATCACAAGTGAAAACGAAAGTAGTTATTGCTACTGACTGAATTAATCAGGATAAAAATAAACTTGATGACGTTTAGGGTAGTGTTTTTCTAATCAAATGTACCTTTCAACTGTTTCACGGTAAATTGAAAACAACAACGGTAAAAATCATCTTTATTTTCGAATCGTAATCTAAAATGAAATGTAAAATGAGTTAAAATTGTACTTGCATTTATTTACACCACCTAGACACTGACATGGAGTTACGCGCTGTTATTTTTGTCTCGGAGTCACTCTCATCACACGTTTCTCACGCGGAGTCACTCGTTTTTATGGACAAATACTCTCGCGGAGTTGCGAGTGGATTCCTCGATCCTCCGAGGATTTTGCATATTCCTCGTTATCTGTACTGTAAAAATAGAAAAAGCTTGTTAACATTCTATAGGCTGCAGTTTTGATTAAAATATTCTGGAAATTTGTAAGGAAGGTTGTTTTAATGATTTCTAGGTCAAGTTCGAAGATGGGTAATGTCTGGTCATCCAAAAAACTAGTGTCACAGGAGCTAAAAATAGAAAAAGCTTGTTATAATGGTTTGCAGTTTTTCATCCAAACATTCTTGAAATTTGTCAGAAAGGTTGTTTTATGATTTCTAGGTCTATTTCGAAGGTGGGTCATCTCAGGTTCAAAAACTAGGTCACAGGAGCTAAAAATAGAAAAAGCTTGTTAAACACTCTAATGGCTGCAGTTTTCATCTTAATATTCTGGAAATTTGTCAGGAAGGTTGTTTTGATGATATTCTAAGTCCAAGTTGGAAGATGGGTCAATCTCCGGTCAAAAACTAGGTCACAGGAGCTAAAATAGAAAAAGCTTGTTATCACATAAGGGGCTGCAGTTTTCATCCAAATATTCTAGAAATTTGTCAGGAAGGTTGTTTTGATGATTTCTAGGTCAATTTCGAAGATGGGTTCATCTCAGGTCAAAACTAGGGTCACAGGAGCTAAAAATAGAAAAAAGCTTTGTTAACACTCTATAGGCTGCATTTTTGATTAAAATATATTTGGAAATTTGTAAGGAAGGTTGTTTTTAATGATTTTCTAGGTCAAGTTCGAAGATGGGTTATCTCAGGTGAAAAAACTAGGTCACAGGAGCCAAAAATAGAAAAAAAACTTGTTTACACTCTAGTGGCTGAAGGTTTTGATTCAAATATTCTGGAAATTTGTCAAGGAATGCTGTTTTGATGGTTTTCTGGGTCAATTGCAAGATTGGTCCATGTCCGGTCAAAAACTAGGTTCACAGGAGCTAAAAAATAGAAAAATCTTTTTTAAACACTCTAGTGCCAAATTTCCTGGAAATTGGTCAGGAAGGTTTTTTGATGATTTCTATGTCAAGTTTGAATATGGGTCGTGTCGGTTCAAAAATTAGGGTCACATGCCCAAATATGGAAAAAATCTTTATAAACACACTAGAGGTCACATGTTTGACTCAGTTGTCATCAAAAACTTGGTCATGATGCTTGTTTAAGACATTGCTTGGGATGCGACGGTAATGTGTCAGCTGGAGCGATCCAGGGGCCATCATGGCCCTCTTATTTGTATTTGGTGTGGACGTTTTTGATCATGTTTCGGATATCTTTTAAATCCTTATCAGTTTCAGTAATAATATTTTATTTAGCTTTTGTTTGAAGAGTTTGCACATCTTATATGCTGGCATAATTTTTTTCCCAAATAATAAATTTCACAACTAAGTCTTGATACAATGTCTCCAAAATTTGCAATGAATATTATACATTTAAGAAAAAGGCCTGGTAAAATTTAACAATGTAAGTACCTAAACAAGTTGTCAACAAAACAATAATTTTGATAGCTTAACAGTATACACATGTATATGCATAGAACAATATTACAACCTGTGTTTTCTATTCAATAGGTACGTCAGTATAGAAATAATATTTTCCACTCAAGCAGCATGGAATTAGAAGAAAGTGAGGCCAATTCATATATTGACGATATGATAGCAGTTTTACAAGATGGTAAAGAGCTATTACAACAACCAGATGCCCAGATAGCGGTGAAAAAAACTTCAAGATGTAAGTGTAAATAATGAATTATATCAGTTTGAAATCTTTATAGAGTTAACTTAAAATGATTAAAGATAACAGTCATGCCACATAATTCAGGACAAAGTTAAGGTAACGAGTTTGAAGTGGTAATAATAATTCCCTTAAGTTAATTGATAAAGTCACATGAAAATATATATGTACCTATAAAATGTTAAATTATAAAAACAAAGAGATCTTAGTTGTAAAGAACTTCTAAATTCCAAAAACTTTGAAATTTGAACAATTTTAAGGGTCCTGAAATTCTATATAATTCATACATCTGAAATTAAGGAATTCTAAATTCTGATATTGTGGTAAGGTTTGGATTATATCAATAAAAAATTACTTTAAATATTCGAAAATTGAAAAAGCGTGTGAAGAATATTATACGTTGTATTGAAGGAAATATTATAAATTACAAAGCTACATTTTTTATGATAGAAAATATAATAAAACTGATTTCTTTTAATCAGCTGAAGAAGAAAGATTTCATTATTACCACTGAAAGCTTTGATGAAATTCTAAGAGAAAATTAAGGAAGAACTGGCAAAAATTCTGAAATCCACAGAAAGTGCTGCAACTAAAGAAGAATATGATGATCTGAAGAAGAAGCTAATAGACCTTGAAGCCAAGATGTCTGGTGAAAAGGAGGGAAAGCTGGAAATTGAAAAAGAACTTGAAGGACTAAAGAAAACAATAAAAGAACTTGAATTCCAAATGTCTCAGGAAACACTTGAGAAAGCCGAATTGAAAAAGAAATTTACTGTTCTAGAGATACTTGTATCAGAACAGAAAGAGGTAAAAAAAATTTCCTTCTGTTTGTTAACTAAAATGAGCCGCGTCACGACAAAACAAACATAATGTGTTGCGACCAGTGTGGATCCAGACCAGCCTGCGCATCCGCGCAGTCTCATCAGGATCCATGCTGTTCGCTTACAAACCCTATAACAAGTAGAGAAACTGATAGCGAACAGCATGGATCCTGATCAGACTGTGCGGATGCGCAGGTTGGTCTGGATCCATGCTGGTCGCAAACCCATTATGTTGGTTTTGTCGTGACGCGGCTCAAGTGATGTATGTTAAGCGTATACATGTATATAGACATCTTTCCATTAAAGAAGGTCAAGACATGATAGGTAATTGTAAAGAAATTACTTTATGATTTAAGTTCTTGTAGTAATATACTTTAAATTACTTTATGATTTAAGTTCTTGTAGTAATATACTTTAAATTACTTTATGGTTTTAGTTATTGTGGTAATATACTAATAAATTACTTTATGATTTAAGTTCTTGTGGGCCATGTGGTAATATACTTTTAACTGAAAAAAAAAAAACCAGATTTATCCCATGTACAATGGGTACAAAATGTATATAGCCTTAATTATCCAATGCTTACAAATATTGTTGGAATTTTTAAAAAGTAAATTTTCCAAAATCCCGTATGAAAAAAAAAAGTTTTAGCATATTTCCTGAAAAGCATATGGCACATGCAGAAACTCCTTGCTTAAAGGGATATTCAGGCAAAAAATCATAATGATCTTATGTACTCAAATCACGCTAAAATGACATTTCTTAAAGTCCCAGCATGAAATTCTGTTTTAATTTTATTTATTTTTGGTTTAACGCGTAAATTTATCTATATATGTTTAACAAAATTTAGAAGCCAACAGAATCACTGAATAGTTTTAAAGACAAGTCGTGTGACTTGAACAAACTCTTGAAGTTACAATAACAGATATTGTGGATATTGTATGATAGAAACAAGTGTAAGTCATTCATTTGACATGTTCTTTAATGTTTCCAGAGTTCACTGTGCCAACTATTGTGAAATCTTAGCGCACTAACCTGACCCATGCGGGTCAAGTTAGGAAACCACCATTCTATTCTTTATATGGAGAAAAGTTATGTTCCTTTGACTGTCTTATGTATTCATTTTGAGGGCATTTACAGAATAATGAATGGAAAAAAAACAAAGTAAGAAATTAAAATGTTGCCTTTGTCCCCCTTTTAAGGCCAAAACTCATTAATAAAAGGTCAAACTTAAAAGTTAAATATAGCTATTCTTACCCTGATGAAGGTCAAACATATAAGGTTTAATGTAAGCTGGCTGAGCTTCCTAATGGTGATGGTCATATTTAAAAGGTTTAATGTTAGCTATGCTTACGCATCATTTAATGTAAGCAGTTCTTGCTCATGGTGATGGTCACACTTAAAGATTAAATGTTAGCTATGCTTGTTCATAGTGAAGATAACACTTAAAGTTTTATGATAGCTATGCTGGCTTATGGTGAAGATCCCACTTAAAATGTTAGCTATGCTTGTTCATAGTGGAGATCACACTTAAGGTTCAATGTTATCTATACTGGCTCATGATGAATATCCAACTTAAAGGTTAAATGTTAGTTATGCTTGCTCATGATGATAATCACATTTAAAGGTGGAATGTTAGCTATGCTTGATCATTTGTGAAGGTCACACTAAAAGGTTAAATGTTAGCTATGCTTGCTCATCGTGAAGGTCACACTTAACGGTTAAATGTTAGCTATGCTTGCTCATGGTGGAGATCACACTTACAGGTTAAATGTTAGCTATGCTTGCTCATCGTGAAGGTCACACTTAACGGTTAAATGTTAGCTATGCTTGCTCATGGTGGAGATCACACTTAAAGGTTAAATGTTAGCTATGCTTGCTCATCGTGAAGGTCACACTTAACTGTTAAGTGTTAGCTATGCTTGCTCATGGTGGTGATCACACTTAAAGGTTAAATGTAAGTATGCTTGTACTTAGTGAAGATCACACTTAAAGGTTAAATGTTAGCTATGCTTACTCATGGTGAAGATCACACTTAAATGTTAAATGTAAGTATGCTTGTACTTAGTGAAGGTCACACTTAAAGGTTAAATGTTAGCTATGCTTACTCATGGTGAAGATCACACTTAAAGGTTAAATGTAAGTATGCTTGAACTTAGTAAAGATCACACTTAAAGGTTAAATGTAAGTATGCTTGTTCTTAATGAAGGTCACACTTAAAGGTTAAATGTTAGCTATGCTTACTCATGGTGAAGATCACACTTAAAGGTTAAATGTAAGTATGCTTGTACTTAGTGAAGGTCACACTGAAAGGTTAAATGTTAGCTATGCTTACTCATGGTGAAGATACCACTTAAAGGTTAAATGTAAGTATGCTTGTACTTAGTGAAGGTCACACTTAAAGGTTAAATGTTAGCTATGCTTACTCATGGTGAAGATCACACTTAAAGGTTAAATGTAAGTATGCTTGTACTTAGTGAAGGTCACACTTAAAGGTTAAATGTTAGCTATGCTTACTCATGGTGAAGATCACACTTAAAGGTTAAATGTAAGTATGCTTGTACTTTTGAAGGTCACACTTAAAGGTTAAATGTTAGCTATGCTTACTCATGGTGAAGATCAAACTTAAAGGTTAAATGTTTGCTATGCTTGTTCATAGTGAAGATCCTACTTAAAGGTTAAATGTAAGCTATGCTGGTTAAATGTAAGATTTGCTTGCTCATAATGAAGATCACACTTAAAGGTGAAATGTTAGCTAAGCTGGTTCATGGTGATGGTCACATTTAAAAGGTTAATGTCAGCTATGCTTACTCATTGTTAAGGTTACACGTAAAGGTTAAGTATTATATCTTGTTTGTTATGTTAGGGTTTGCCTTACCTATTGAATGATTTTCTTCAATCATTGCTTAAGTTACACAATTCAGCACTGAGAAATGTTAAGTTTGTTGTCCAGGGACAGATTTTGTTTTAAAATAAGGTATAGAACTATGAACTTTGATAATCATGTTGATAATTTTAGCTTCAAATTTGTGCAACTTAGAAACATTCTTTGAGAATATAAAATGTGATCCAATGACCTACTCCTTTATTGCAGAGCATTTTCTTACAAAGAATTTTGGGTGAGTGATTAACCCATTACCCGATATTATGGCTTAAAACGTCTTTTTCACGCCCCCCCCCTATTGTTGTCTGAAATGGTGAAAACAATGCCTTATTTAGGCTCTCAACACTTGTTTTTGTTTGAGAAAAGTTGTTTAAATAAAAAAGTGACCACTTTTTCGGCAAGGCCCCCCCCCCAACCAAAAGATACATCAGGGGTTGCCAGAAGCGGGATGTGACCCCTTCTGTTTGGGGGGTTTGAAGTTGGGCGGCAGTCCCCCTCATCGCCAAGAAAATTTTGGACATGTGACAGGCTAAAACTGACCCAAGATCGATCATGAGGTAACGTGTAACCTACGCTGAAAAGAATTTGACTTTATCTCAATTCATTGAGAAGTTGCAGCACTTTCAAATCAATTTTGATGGAAAAAATCAATGCAAAATAGTGATTTTTTGGCAATTTTGAGATGTCTCCTTGTTGCCATGGTAACAGGAAATTTAAGCCTGGGAATGTTGTTACAAAGGCAATGGTTCAGTCAACATTTGTACTAAGTTTGATTAGAATTGAAGAAGTTTATATAGTTTTATAGCAATTTGAACTTGTAACGGGAGACTTTTCAATGAAAACAGCCATTTTTTCAGAAAATGCTCATGAAGTAATGGGTTAAATAGGGTGATCATAATGGTTATTATGCTAAAATATAAAAATGAAATAAAATATGTACACAATTCTGTACATACCTTTGGGCATTAAATACTATTTATATCTTGTTGATTAGTTTTGAACAAAAATGTCTTTTTTGGAGAAAAGAAGATGATTTGTTTTTGCAGGAGATGGCAAAAATTAAGACAGTAACTTCCTCAGGTCAAAGTCAGGCAGAGTATGAGCAAACCAAGTTAGGTGAGTAAATATTTGTTTTGATAGTGTACATACAAGTGTATGATATTGCCATTAATATAAATAAAAACCAGCTGAATATCATCGTTACTTTATCATTTTAGAAATTAATATGATACAATTATATACTCCGGATCATACAATATCATTAAATTTATAATATTAAAATTTATGAAATTACAATGTAACATTTGATGATATTCTACCACATAATGTGGTTGGTGCTATACTGGAATCACTTTGCGGCATCATTAGGTCAGTCATTCCGTCTGTTTGTTTCCATCGGGTCAATATCCCCTTGAAGGACAAATGCCAAACATCAAACTTTTTTTCTTTTCTCTATATATTCTATACCCCCTGTGTGTAAGTTTCCTTAAATTTGCCTCAACAAGGCAGTATGCATAACCAATGTCTGTGCTTGGTTTACAAGGCAATGTTTAGAACCTATGCCTCTGCCGTGCTGGCTCACAGCTTCTTTGATTGTCAAAGGTCAAATATCAGACAGACAATCATGTACTCGCTCTATAAACTGTATAAATTTTCTTTAAATTGGCATAACTGTTTACTGTAACATGAAAAGACATACTACAGCTGTGCCAGTTCAAGGTCAAGGGAACCCTTGAAGGTCAAACGTAATATATGGAACATTTTCGTCTCTGCTATATAAATCCTATACCCGGTCATGGATTTTCTTCAAACTTGGATGTTCATCTCAATAAGGCAATGGGCAGAACCAATGCCACTGCCATTCCAGCTTAAGGCAAAGGTCACCTTTGAAGGACAACGGTCAAATATCACAAACTTTTGTGTCAGCTCTATAAATCTTACATGCCTTTTACGATCTTCTTCAAGGTCATGATCAATCTTGAAGGTCAAAGTCAAAAGTCCGATCATTTTGTGTCGAACCCTTGAAGGATTTTCTTCAAACTTGACCCAAAACAATGGGATATGCAGAACAAATGAAGCTTCTTTGCAGGCCTTTTGTTTGAACTATAAATGCCATCCTTTTCAAATATCTTAATACAATCCCATCAAGATAAAAACAAGGGAGCATAAGTGTTTACCCCAGTTAATTGTTGTTGGCGTGTGTTTTCAAAAACCTTGTCCCGCCTATATCTCTATCATGCTTCATGAGATTTTGAAATGATTTGGCAAAATGTGTAGAATGAGGAGACAGTTTGTATGGCGCAAAACATAAATCCCTAGCTCCAAGGTCAAGGTCACAGAGAGTTTAAATGTCAGCAATTATAAATTTATTAGGCCCATAACTTTTTATACATTAGGGATTTTGAAACAATTTAGCATAAATGTTGAGCATGATAAGCCAGTGTTTCAGGTTCAAGATATAGACCCCAGGTCAAAGTTGAAAGTCACACTTACTCTTACAGGTCAAAGGTCAGCAGTTTAAAGAAAATCTTCGCTTGTCTTACACTCTGTTATCCATAAAGAGAATGGTCAATAAGTAAACACTGCTGGCAAAAGTGTTTAGAATTATAAGTCATTGATACCCTACCATCCAAAATATAGGGGCGTTCTGTGGCAGAGTGGTTAAGGTTGTTGACTTCAAACCACTTGCCCCTCACCGCTGTGGGTTCGAATCCCTACAGGGACTTTGGATTTTTTCATGTGAGGAAGCTATCCAGCTAGCTTATGGAACGTCAGTAGTTCTACTCAGTGCCGGTTCGTGCCTGAAATAATGCACAGAAGGGCACCTGAGGTTTTCCTCACCAGTTAAGCTGGAAGCGTCGCCATATGACCTATACTGTGTCGGTGTGACATAAAACCCAATCAAATTAACAAATAAAAACCATTCAAAATAATTGTATCTTATGTAAAATATTACAGAGCTTATATTTATTAAATTTATTGCTCCAGGTCACAATAAACAGTTTGTGCTCCATTGCCTTTTAAATATTTATCAACAGCCATCTGTCCTTATACTTGAAAAGGTCTTTTATTATACCCCCACAAACGAAGTTTAGGGGGGGGGGTTATAGGAGTCAGCTTGTCGGTCGGTCGGTCCGTCATGGTTAGGATATTGTTATCAAACTTGGCGTATAGCAAGCTTATATGAAGATCCCAGTTGCGATTACAATTAATTGAAATATTTCTTTTACACAGTTTTATAGTTTTTGTTCAAAATTTTTCTTCAGACTACTTTTTTTCATAAAGTCAAAGTTGCAGGTGGGGGTATTAACCTTTTCCCTTATATAAGCGTGTTTCGTCGGCTTTTTGCCCCCCCCCCTTTTTTGAGGCCTCAAACAGTGAAAAAATGCCCCTATTAAGGCCCCAAACACTGTCTTTTGTTTGAGAAATGTTGTTAAAAAAAGCGACCATTTTTTTGGCGCCGTCCCCCATTCAAAAATTACATCAGGGGGTTGCCAGAAGGGGGATGTGCCCCCTTCTGTTTGGGGGTATGAAGGGGGGCGGAGTCCCCCTCATCGCCAAGAAAATTTTGGACTTGTGAGAGGCTTAAAATGACCCCAGGTCGATCATAAGGTAACGTGTAACCAACGCTGAAAAGCCTTTGACTCTATCTCATTCCCTTGAGAAGTTGCAGCACTTTGAAATAAATTTTGATGGAAAAAATCGAGGCAAAAAAGTGATTTTTTGGCAATTTTGAGATGTCCCCTCGTTGCCATGGTAACAGGAAATTTAAGACTGAGCATGTCGTTACAAAGGCAATGGTCCAGTCCAACATTTGTGCCAAGTTTGATTAGTATTGAAGCATTTTTCATAGTTTCATAGCAGTTTGAACTTGTAACAGGAGGCTTTTCAGTGAAAATGGCCATTTTTCACAATATGCTCATGGGGAAAGGGTTACTAAAAAAATTATAAATGTTACAAAACAACAATTTTTCACCAAAATTAGGTAAAAGACTACATTGTTAACATGGAAAAAACTAGATTTTTGGGTGATTCCAAGGTTTTTCATCATTTTTTGTTAACCTTTTCCCTTATATAAGCGTGTTTCGACGGCTTTTTGCCCCCCCCCCCCCTTATTTTGAGGCTTCAAATAGTGAAAAAAATGCCCTATTAAGGCCCCAAACACTGTCTTTTGTTTGAGAAATGTTGTTAAAAAAAGTGACCATTTTTTTGGCGCCGTCCCCCATCCAAATATTACATCAGGGGGTTGCCAGAAGGGGGATGTGCCCCCTTCTGTTTGGGGGGATTGAAGGGGGGGCGGAGTCCCCCTCATCGCCAAGAAAATTTTGGACTTGTGAGAGGCTTAAAATGACCCCAGGTCGATCATAAGGTAACGTGTAACCAACGCTGAAAAGCCTTTGACTCTATCTCATTCCCTTGAGAAGTTGCAGCACTTTGAAATAAATTTTGATGGAAAAAATCGAGGCAAAAAAGTGATTTTTGGCAATTTTGAGATGTCCCCTCGTTGCCATGGTAACAGGAAATTTAAGACTGAGCATGTCGTTACAAAGGCAATGGTCCAGTCAACATTTGTGCCAAGTTTGATTAGTATTGAAGCATTTTTCATAGTTTCATAGCAGTTTGAACTTGTAACAGGAGGCTTTTCAGTGAAAATGGCCATTTTTCACAATATGCTCATGGGGGAAAGGGTTAACTAAAAAAATTATAAATGTTACAAAACAACAATTTTTCACCAAAATTAGGTAAAAGACCACATGTTAACATGGAAAATCTAGATTTTGGGTGATTCCAAGGTTTTTCATCATTTTTAGCTCGACTTTTCTATGAAAAGGGGAGCTATCCTACTCGCCCCGGCGTCGGCGTCGGCGTTAGCGTTAGCGTCGGCGTTGGCGTCACACCTTGGTTAAGTTTTTCGTACCACCCCACTTTATTTCAGAAGTATTACAAGTATGGCTTTGAAACTTACCATACTTGTTCACCATCATAACCTCCATCTACAGACAAGAGTACATAACTCTGTCAAGGTTTTTGACAGAATTATGGCCCTTTTTTGACTTAGAAAGTGTATTGAGCTTGGTTAAGTTTTTTGTACCACCTCACTTTATTTCAAAACCATTGGAGGTATTGCTTTGAAACTGACCATACTTGTTTACCATCACGACCTTCATCAACAGACAAGAGGACATAACTCTGTCAAGGTTTTTGACAGAATTATGCCCCTTTTTGACTTAGAAAATACATTGAATATGGGTAAAATCCACTTATTGCCTTAACCCTTTGAGATATTGCTTTGAAACTATAATACTTTCACATACAAAGTCAAATCTATATATTATGCTGATTGTACAAAAATATACTGCTTCCTTGGCATAGATTTCTTGAAAAATTATGTTATTATGTCATTTACCAAGGTGTTCTGAGTGACGTAAAAATACCTTATTCTCTCAAAGTGGGTTTAATACTATTAAATTTATTTAAGGCTCAACTCAGTTTTTTTTTCTTTCTTACCAGCCCTCTTTTGACTTAAACATTTCAAACTTTGCTGCAGTGTTCAAGGGTATCACACAATTCAGTAAAATAATTCTTCACTAAATATCTTAATGCTCATGGCCATTGTTCACTTTAAAAATACAGAGATTCTTGTATTGCCTTTTACTGCAAAAACTTTTTTTATTGGCAAGCAATAAAAAAGTCGAGCGCGCTGTCTTACGGACAGCTCTTGTTTGTTAACCTTTTCCCTTATATAAGCGTGTTTCGACGGCTTTTTGCCCCCCCCCTTTTTTGAGGCCTCAAACAGTGAAAAAATGCCCTATTAAGGCCGCAAACACTGTCTTTTGTTTGAGAAATGTTGTTAAAAAAAGTGACCATTTTTTTGGCGCCGTCCCCCATCCAAATATTACATCAGGGGGTTGCCAGAAGGGGGATGTGCCCCCTTCTGTTTGGGGGGATTGAAGGGGGGCGGAATCCCCCTCATCGCCAAGAAAATTTTGGACTTGTGAGAGGCTTAAAATGACCCCAGGTCGATCATAAGGTAACGTGTAACCAACGCTGAAAAGCCTTTGACTCTATCTCATTCCCTTGAGAAGTTGCAGCACTTTGAAATAAATTTTGATGGAAAAAATCGAGGCAAAAAAGTGATTTTTGGCAATTTTGAGATGTCCCCTCGTTGCCATGGTAACAGGAAATTTAAGACTGAGCATGTCGTTACAAAGGCAATGGTCCAGTCAACATTTGTGCCAAGTTTGATTAGTATTGAAGCATTTTTCATAGTTTCATAGCAGTTTGAACTTGTAACAGGAGGCTTTTCAGTGAAAATGGCCATTTTTCACAATATGCTCATGGGGGAAAGGGTTAATCACCTTCAGTGATAGGTCTTGTTACAAATAGGGTTATGTAATAAAAACTGTGCTGTCCTGTTATAACACCGGTATTTATACTATTTGGTGTCCTAACATAAATAGCAGAGGTATCTGTGCCTTTCAGACACATTTCTAAACCTCAACTGTTTTTAGCTCACCTGTCACAAAGTGACAGGGTGAGCTTTTGTGATCGCTTTTCGTCCGGCGTCCGTCCGTCCGTCGTCCGTCCGTCGTCCGTCCGTCCGTCCGTAAACTTTTACTTTAAATGACATCTCCTCATAAACCACTAAGCCAATTTCATCCAAACTTCACAGGAATGTTCCTTTGGTGGTCACCTTTAAAAATTGTTCAAAGAATTTAATTCCATGCAGAACTCTGGTTGCCATGGCAACCAAAAGAAAAAACTTAAAAAATCTTCTTTTAAAGAACCCAAAGAGCTAGAGCTAAGATATTTAGCATGAAACATGTTCTAATAGGTGTCTACCAAGTTTGTTCAAATAAAAGCCCTGGGGTCAAAATTGGCCCCGCCCCGGGGGGTCATTGATTTTCCCTATATGCATATAGTAAAAACTTAAAAAATCTTCTTTTAAAGAACCCAAAGAGCTAGAGCTAAAGATATTTAGCATGAAACATGTTCTAATGGGTGTCTACCAAGTTTGTTCAAATAAAAGCCCTGGGTCAAAATTGGCCCCGCCCCAGGGGTCATTGATTTTCCCTATATGCATATAGTAAAAACTTAAAAAATCTTCTTTTAAAGAACTCAAAGAGCTATGGCTAAGATATTGAGCATCAAACATGTTCTAATAGGTGTCTACCAAGTTTGTTCAAATAAAAGCCCTGGGGTCAAAATTGGCCCCGCCCCAGGGGGTCATTGATTTTCCCTATATGCATATAGTAAAAACTTAAAAAATCTTCTTTTAAAGAACCAAAAGAGTTAGAGCTAAGATATTTAGCATGAAACATGTTCTAATAAGTGTCTACCAAGTTTGTTCAAATAAAAGCCCTGGGGTCAAAATTGGCCCCGCCCCGGGGTTCATTGATTTTCCCTATATGCATATAGTAAAAACTTAAAAAATCTTCTTTTAAAGAACTCAAAGAGCTATGGCTAAGATATTTAGCATCAAACATGTTCTAATAGGTGTCTACCAAGTTTGTTCAAATAAAAGCCCTGGGGTCAAAAATTGGCACCGCCCCGGGGGTCATTGATTTTCCTTATATGTGTATAGCAAAAACTTAAAATCTTCTTTGAAAAAACCCAAATAGCTAGAGTTTAGATATTAAGCATGAAACATCTTCTAGTAAGTTTGTTTAAATAAAAGCCCTTGGGTCAAAACTGGCCCGGCCCCAGGGGTGTCATTGTTTTTAACTATATGTGTATAGTAAAAACTTAAAAAAAATCTTCTTTTAAAAAGCCCAATGAGCTAGAGCTTAGATGTTTAGCATGAAACATCTTCTTATGGGTGTCTACCAAGTTTGTGCAAATAAAAGCCCTTAGGTTAAATTGGCCCTGCAACGTTGGGGGGGGGGGGTTGGGGGCCTATATACAGGTGAGCGACCTCAGGGCCATCATGGCCCTCTTGTCTATTTAAATTGATGAAAAAGAGCACTACATAATATTGTATGCCGTAGAATTTGGATGAGAATATCTTTACCCCTGTGGCTGATCTAGCTTATCACAAGTCATAATAAGTATTTATTAAGTAATTAATTCATAATGTCATTATAGTAATCTATTAAACATTGAACTCATTAAGATGTAATATGTTTTTATTAATTATTTAATTAATTCTATATGGACATAGATATACTACACAGTAGATTAGGGCCAGAAAGTGTGTTAATACCCCCCCCTCGCTCAAAATGAATAGTGCCCTTGTTTTTTGCCAAATGAATAATGACCCGAGGGCATAATTCATTTCAGGGCGGATTATAACTATTTGGTTTGTCTCAAATGTGCCTTAATGTCTTTTATACACTTGATAGTAACACTAATTTGAATAAGATCTACATTAATATTGTTGAAATTCTTGTCTTATAATACTGTACAATACTTAAAGACATTTTCTACAGTTTTATGAAAATTTTATCCTTTCATAGAATTTTCTTAAGTTTTTGTATGATAAGTAAAATTTAATGGCGAATTCAAAAATAAAAAGAAAAATATATGTTGACGTGTTGGATTTCTTGTAAAATGGCAGTTTCCATGGTAACCATATATCTAAAAACTGTTAATATAGCTAAAGTGTGTTATAACAAATAGAAAATGTATAAGATAGCTTGATAAGACACACAATTAGCAATGTTTTATGCAAAGATAACCTTATCCAATGATTCTGTATGAAACAAATGATAATCTAAACATATTTTTAAAAAAATTAGTTTTCCGTACTCCTTAAAGCTACATTAAATAAATATGTATAAATATTTTGCCGTCGGCCTAAAAATAGAACATTCTACAGTTTCATTAACCTGTTTAACAGTATTCTTGTTAATCTCATCAAATATTGTTTATAAATAAGGATTTTAAACGGGAAACCCCACGGTAACACTAAAGTTCGTATACTAATTTTAACATGCAAATGAAGACTATAATCAGCTCGTGTATGCGTTACGTCACAGTTTTATAGTTGCTATCCGGAACACAGTAAATATGATATTTTCTTGTGCAAACACACTTTAACTGTTTTAGCTTCACGGTGCACTAAACCTGGGGTTCAGTAAAAGTAATCATCTCGTAAAAAGATTAAATTTGTATGAAAACATCCGTTACAATGCGGAAATATACCGTTAAATTAAGACTGCTACTTATAGTCATGTTTGTTGATTAATTATTGATGTACGGATGATCCAAAGGCGGAGTTTCTCATGGCAAACAGAAATTGTACTTCCCATTTCGCCACAATGAGGTTACCCGTTTTTATGCTAATAAAACTCATTTTGGTTGTCTGGACACCAAAATAAGACCAGGAGTCGATATAAAACCCAATTTATTAATGATCATGTCGCAATTTTTTTTATGAAATTTATTAAATGTAACTAACTGAACAAAAAATGAGAAAAATAAACATGAATTTTGTGAATAATTAAAGATATTGAAAAATTTCTTTCATAGGATTTTCTAATTTTTTTTGTATTTTGTGTAAAATTTAATGACAAATTCAAAAATTGAAAGAAAAATATATGTTGGCGTGTTAGATTTTTTGAAAAATGGTAGTTTCCATGGTAACCGTATATCTCGAAACTGTCAAAATTGCCAACTGTGTTATAAAAATGTACAAGACAGCTTATTACACTCACAATAAACATATTTTCGAACAAAACTTGCTTTATCTAAGGGTTCTGTATAAAACAATCGATAATCTGAACATATTCCTTGAAAAATGAGTTTTTCATGCTTTTTAACTGAATAAAAATGAGAAAAATAAACATGCATTCTGTAAATAATTCAAGCTATCAAGAAATTTCTTTCATAGAATTTTCTACATTTTTGGTAAATCAAGTAAAATTTTATGGTGGATTCAAAAATAGAAATAAAAATATATGTTGACGTGTTAGTTTTTTTGTAAACGGGCAGTTTCCATGGTTACCGCATATGCCAGCTGTCAAAATTACCACGCTTTCGTAAGAAATATCAGTGTTATACTAAATGCATTGTCATACCCGTCCCTAGATTTGCCACTTAAATGCCACCCTTTTCAATGGTGGAGTATTTAGACAATTTTCCACCAATAATGCCACCAAAACGCCACCAAAATGCCACCCAAATCATGAAAATGGTGGAAAATTTGAGCAGGACTGATGTTATATAATTTTCCAGTTAATTCCACCTTTTTTACACTAAATGCCACCAATGAGTGGAAAATTGGTGGAGTATTTAGACAAACTTTCACCAATATGCCACCTTAGGGTGGCAAACTCATTTTCCACTAGATGCCACTTGTTTCCACTTATTGCCACCATAATGGTGGAAAATTGGTGGAGTATTTAGACAAATTTCCACCATTATGCCACCATTGAGTGGCAAACTTATTTTCCACCAAATGCCACTTATTTCCACCTTTTGCCACCATAAGGGTGGAAAATTGGTGGAGTATTTAGACACTTTTCCACCATTTTGCCACTAGATAGTGGCAAATTCAGTTTCCACTAAATGCCACCTATTTTCCACCTTGAGGGTGGCAATAGCTGGAAACTTCTTGAAATTCACCCTATACCCTAAAAGGGAAACAAAAACAAAATTTTAAAAATAATCCTTTTTATTGCCTCCTCCATTGGAAAATGTTTTCACAAAAAAATAACAATAAATGTGTCCATTCATTTTCTCCAGTTTAGCTATTCCTGGATGGTTTGAGCAGGTGCCGAATCACCCTCCATATTTCTGTTCTTGGGGTGGTTGGCCACTTTTCCAGCACACAATCTAAAACAAAAAATATTATGAATGATTAATACAATAATTAAAAGCATTGGCTTATAAATATTTTTATATGACTATTCAAGCTGACTGCATAGCTTTTGTTTGTTTTGGTTAATAGGGTTTTATATCACACCGGCGCATTATAGATCACATAGCGGCGTTCCAGCTTTACTGGTTGAGGAAGGACTAGGGTGCCCTTCCGTGCATTATTTCAGGCACACACATCACCTGAGTAGAACCACTAACGTTTGGTAAGCCAGCTGGAAAGCTTCCTCACATGAAAGAATCCAAAGTCCCTATCAGGATTCGAACCCACAGCAATGAAGGGCAAGTGGTTTGAAGTCAACAATTTAACCACTCAGCCATGGACGCCCCTAGAGTGCATAGATATGATTTAAGCACTTTGACAACACAGTGTTGCATACATAGATGAAGTATGTTCAGACTTTTCTAATTTATTACTCCAAGGCAGGAAACATACCTAAGATAAAAAATATATTTTCATTCAGTTCATAAGTTACCTTCCAAGAACTTCAGTTTTGCCTTGTCTGCAAGACCAGGTCTGGTATCTGACTCATTGTGACCTTTCCTCATACCGAAGAGTGAGCGGCCTTTGGTCTCTTCTATACTAAAAAGCATCCTGAAGAGCCTTGTTGTTCCCTTCTGAGACGAGGGATAGTGCCTCAGTTCTGCCATCACTTGGTCCTAAAATATTAATATCCAATAAGTAAACACAGAAAATGAAACACTTTTATAAAATCTTCAGAATATGTATACAAATCTAAAATATGTAAAATGAAATCTTAATGCAAGTTAAAGTGCAATAAACAGTTTAAACTAGAACTTTGTGAGTCAGATGTGTGCCTTGTGAACAATATAGTTTAGGAGAAATGGCCAGGACAAAAATGAAATATGAAAATTAACAAAGGGCAATAACTAAAAAAAAACAGGAAATGCAGAGCAGCAGTTTCTGTTCAATAAGATCTATCATCCTATGAAGTTTCAAGTCTATAGTTTTAATAATTTATGAGAAATGGCATAAAGTATAAAAGTATTAACAAAGGGTCATAACTCAAAAATAAGTGCAGAGTATCGGTTCTTGTGCCCTGCTTTTTTTTCTTAATGAGATCTATCGTCCCGTGAGGTTTCAAGTTCATAGCTAATATACTTAAGAAGAAATGGCCTGGACAAAAATAAAGTATGAAAATTAACAAAGGGAAATAACTCAAAAATTAAGAAGAACAGAGTTCCAGTTCTTGTGCACTGCACTTCAAGTCATTATAAGAAGCATGCATACCACGTTTGAAGTCAATCCGACTTATAATGACTGACTTATGCTCCGGACAAGCTTAAGGGGACGCCAACACCGCCAAAAAAAGTAACCCCTATATGTCGCCTTTTTCAAGGAAACACAATAAAAGTAGGTTTTTAAATAGTGAATAAAACCTAAACTAGTGTCTTATTGGATCCTGTGACACTTCTTTCCTTTCAATTCTAAAATCGCTCTGAATTAAGTAAGAAACAAAGCAAGATACCTTTGTAAAGCCATTGAAGACTCCAGGCTCCTCCTCACTGCTTTGTGACTGCAAAAGAAAAATCCTTATTTAATGCTAATCTTGTTATGAGCCCCTTAACAGCTTGTTAGTTTAAACATTCTAGTTATAGTTATATATAACTACTGTACCATGAAAGCTGAATTACAACAAAGAAGGAATAAAACATACTAATTAGTAATATAACAGTTAATGTTGTTCTGCTTCACATGTGACACACATAGAAAAAAGATTATAGCAAGAAAGTTGTAGTAATAGGTACCTGGTTATCGGTAGTTTGGTTGCTATCATATTGCTCCAAGTCTGTCTTGTTTACATGCATTGGCACATTGCTTGACCTCAACTGGTCCATATCATTTTTCATTGCCTGTAAAAAAAGACTAATTGTACAAAGTCATGCAACATAGCTTACACCTTTTAAAGCATAATTATGTGTTTAAACAATTCAAGACAAGAACTAGTTGAAATAGGTGATGGACCCGAAATAGCTTTTGGACACAGAAAAGTATACCTCTTGTAGTTTCAGAGTTATGTCCCGGAAAAAGTTCAAAATACAATAATTGCAAACTTAGGCAAGACACACGTACTGTTCTTTGCACTGCTAGTCTACACAATGATATCGATCTACCTTCAAAAGTTCCTTGTTCATATTATAGTCCCAGACAAAGTTAAAAATGTAAATATTAACAAATGGAATTAACCCAAAATCAGGCGAGGCAGAGTTATGGTTCCTTTGCATAACACTTCAACCAAATGAGATATATCTACCTACAAAGTCTCATGTTTATATTTCTTATAGTTTTAGAGTTATGTCCCAGATAAAGTTCAAAGTGAACAAAGGGCAATAACTCCAACATTAGGCACAATACATTATACTTATAACCATACTTTTTATGATCTAGTCTTACCTGCATTTCTGACCACATGTACCTTATTTGGTACTCTGCATAATCAAGACGATTTTTGAGACAGGAAATTTCCTGTTCCTGTACTGTTACTGAGCTGCAACTTGGCTGTGGCTGGAAAGCAGTTGGTCCATCATGTACAATACTTAGACTGCTGGAAATTAATCGACGGGTCTCTTCATCTTCTTGATTTGTTTGCCTTTGAATAACAGTATGAAAGTGACATAAATAAACTAATTGTACTATTTATCTAAAAGACAAGACATAATTATGACCTTATTAAAGATGAATTATAAAGAATAGTCATTAAATTGAAAGAATAGTGTTCAGGTAGTCAATTTAAATTTCAAAGTCCTAAATATTTTGGAAACACTCCTTCAGATGAAATAGACATAATGAAAATACCTGCTTGTGCTTTGAGACAAAGAGGTGATGGCAAGATCTTCAGCAACTTGCTTCAGCTTTTTCTGTTAAAGTGTACAAAAATCATTTCATTAAAAATTTCAAAGTTTGACAGTTTAAAAATTTGAACATTGGAAAAGTCAGTGTGACTCAGTCTTAGGGCTGTCACAAACAATAAAAATTGTAAAATGAATTCTGCAAATTCTTGCAAGATAACAGTGTCTATTGTAGAATCTTTTTTTCTGTTTGTAAATTTTTTTCCCTGCCTCTGCAAAAATAGGGGGAATTCTCAAAAATATGAATGAATACCCCAATCCCCCTTCCTAGAATAGACACTGAACATATACATTTTGATATAAAAACAAGAAATTTAGAAGAAAACTACCACACATGAACAACCAATTACCCTTTTAAAAGTGTGGTCACAACCTTGCATAACAAGGTTCGGACACAAGGTTTATCTTGCCAGGATTCACCTTCGTCCAATCAATTAAAACATGAAGGTGACATATGTTAGCAATGGAAAACCTTCCTTAGACCATTCATATATCTCCCTCCTTTTGTGTTATGAGATAATTCAACATAAAACATTAAATTACCTTTTCTGCTTCACTCGAGTCACTAACAGCAAGTTTTCTAACCGGCTTTGGCTTCACAACTTTGACTGGTTCCTGAAATAACATTTCCTTTGTTATATTAAAGATTGAAATTACTTGTGTATACTAATCAAATTTCAATATTTCATATATCATGGTATTAACACATACCGGTATGTATTTTTACTTAGCATATATCTTAATTTAGAAATTCAGTTTAAAAGGTGGTTAATCCGATTGGGGTCATGTTATGGATTCTTTTTAAACTTAACAATCTGATCATTTACATTTGTCTGTGTTCATCTATATCAAAACTTTTTACTCTTATTTTTTCCTAGCCTGGCTGCCCAACCAATATAGCATTAGTTTAGCATTAGTATAAATCTTATGAACACATTTTTCTCCAGGATTGATGTAAAATTCTCCAGGATTGATTTAAAAATAATTACTACAGTATTAGAGATGACCAAGACTTGCATTGACTAGAAAATATTTTATAAAAATTCACCAGAATGCACAGATTTTTTAACTAATTATTATCTCCCTTTTTTTAGGTTGGTTGCGCACAACTAACACACACAATAAATTACTTTCAACATATGTAATTGTTTTAAAACTTGACTTTTGTTTTACTTACCTGAAATATTTCATTTTGTATTAAATACAAATGTAAAATTATAAATTATATTGAAATTGAAAAAAAAATCCCACTTTTAAACAATTTTATATTAATGATAACAACAAAACTCATAAAATGTTTCAAAAGGGATGCAACTTGATGACCTTGTTTGTTACTTATTGCTCAAAAGGCATAATTATATTGAAACAGAAAAACATAAGCAAATGTTGCTCAAACTTGATTGACCAACTTAATAAAATACCTCTGAAGATCTTGACTGGGACTTCCTTGGAGACCTTCTAGGTGAATCATCAAGTTCTTCATGAAGAGTTAGACTGTTATCATAATGTCTTATAGGTGACTGGAATAAAAGAAAATGTTTAAAATGAAAGGTCAAACATTGACAATGTATGTAAACTTGTTATATGTTTTTTTTCTATATACTACAAGAATTTATACAAAGTCATTTAATCATGATTTTGAAACTATAATTATTTCACAAACTTACACTGTATCAAGACAGCTGCATATTTTAGAACTTAGAACGATTTGTAAATAAATCTGCATGCAGAGATGGTTACTAAAAAACCCAGATCATCTTATTATAATATTTATGAAAAGCACTGACATCATTTTCATGAAGTGTATTCCTACATTGAAAAACTCAACGCACAACCTGTTTATTATCAGTTAAATTTATAGTATATGTATAAAGAGTCAGTATACTTGCTGAATAAATATTTTGTATTTATACTTTATAAACATATTATACATTACAAATACTGTATGAATAATGTTTGTAAGGCTGATAAAATCTTTAATCAGTATTAACACAATCTACATTCAACTTTTATTTTTAAAAAATCCACTATCAGAAAATAAGAAATGACATGTTTAAGCCCCTAATATATATATATATATATGTAAGTTACCTTAGAAGATGTACCAGTCAGTTGATGTATTTTCCTTGGCGACCTTCTAACAGGTTCCTCACCACTAGTGTTTCCAAGAAGGGATTCTGGTTCAGGACCTTTCTGAAGCTGAACATTAAAGGAAACTTATAAAAAAACATGTATATTTTTCATATTTCACCCTGAAACACCCAATACACAGCAGATATTTGTGGGTTTTTTTCAGTGTAAGATCGAAATATATTTCACAGAGTGAACACTATAATTAGATATTTTCATGAGGGAAATATATTTTAATCTTACAAAAAACAAACATTCTATTTATTTAATGCATTTTAATGGTTTTAGACAAAATATCTCCTTTTTACTGCACCCATATGGCGAGCGATCATTAGATTACTAGTCTGACATGTAAACCACTTCCCCATGCCGCCACTAATCTATCAGATCATTTCTATGGGCATTATAGATGTAATTTTTTTTTTTAATCTTGATCACTTTTAGCGGGCATTGAAAATTCTTTTAATGACAAAGATGAAGCGAAGCTGTTTTTCACGATTGCACAAGAAACCACGCTATTGTTTTTGTCAATCACAGACTTTAATTGACTTGACATTAAACTATGTAAAACAATTTCCAATGGTAGTTAAATTATAACAAAATACTTTTTAATAATTGTAACATATATATAAATATCACAGAATTTACATCGGCTTACGAAAACAACTTAATTAAAGGTGAATTTTTTTTCCGAATTGATCTATCCGATAACTTTTCTTAATATAAGTTAAATTAATTGGCGAATATCACTGTTAAAATTATTTAGAGAAAAAATATAAGTTCATTCTTTGTAAAAATGTAAATGTAAAAAGGCGTGCAAGTTACTGACTTCATCATTGCATTTATTTGTTACTTAAAAATTGCTGTACAGCTTTCCTCAACAGTGGGTATAGGCTAGACATAAGTGACACACTTACGACTACTCGACTAGAACTTTTGGCTAGCATAACCGGCCCTTACGACTAGCCACTACCTTACAAAATGTGTATGACCGTGTACAGAAACACAAAAAAGCAGTACTGTACAGATCCATTAATTTTACATTCTATTTTAACTGACTTCAAATTGAAGATAGATAACTCAACAGGTCTGAAAATACTGACACTGCAGTACACAACTTACAATTGGTAAATGATCCATTATAACAAGGCTGGAGTAAGCCTTTTGTATAATACTTACATCAAGGTCAGAGAGCAACTGTAAGAACAGTTCCGTTGATTTGAGAACTTCTGCCATGCTTTTGCGATCTTTCAAGTCTACAAGAAAATTACATTCACAATAAAGTTTGATTTTTTTTAAGGTCAAGACATAGGATCATTTATTATTGGCTTCAAATACATGAATACAGTACTGATAAAAAATTAGATTCAGGAAAGATGATTCATTGCCATCCTCCACAGGTCTATATATTTATGAATACAGTTAAAGTTATAAAATTTATGAAATTCCACAAAAAATAATGGTAAAAAAAGCTATAATTATCAATTATATTTCATTATATGTTGTCATCAGCAATATGTTGCTCAGTTCAATGGTACATGATTATTATTGCTTATAACAACAAGAAATAAAAAATATATTAATAGTTGTAATTCATTTTATAACTAACATAATTTTCATAACAATCCTTGGAAGTATCCGCCTTTTATCAATTGAAGCATTGAAGGTGTAATGGGCACAAAGACTGACCGCCTGTGCCATGCTCGGTAAGCTTACATATCCGAAATTAGTGACACTACAGCGGCTATGTTAAGAATAGGAATTCAATTGATTTTAACAATATTTCCTCACCGTTTCATTTTTTTTTCTTTTTAAAATACCCACACTGATTGATAACGAATAAATGCTGATTAATTGTCCGTCGTGCAACGAGGTAAATTGATGTTTTGTTTAACACGTTTTTTTTTATTCAAACCGGAAATTGAAACTATCTGAGTACGAAAATTCAAATTATATTCGTTCCAACAGTTTTCGTAACACTACTGCTAGAATCGCGATCAAAGCCTAATTTCGCCAATGAACTTTAAAGTTACAAGTAGCAAATTATATTGCAGTATAACATGCCTTAACTATTATAATAAATATTTTCGCATAGCATCATAGGCGTATAAAAGTGTGTGAGTCTATGTGCCCCCTTTTATTTAAAAAAAATGGCGAGACAAATCAATTAATTTAAACATTTCAAACCAGGACGTGAAGGCGGTACATGGCTGTTAAAAACGATGTTATATTTACTGAATGAATATGAATAAAATAAGATCTCACCTCCCAATTTTCCAATCACAGCGTCCACATTTCCAAATCCTGGGCACTTTACAAGAACATGATCGCCAACTTGATAATCTTTATAATCTCGCCTAGGACTCAAAATTGAACTAAGGCGTAAAATATTCCCACTAATTGGATCATCATTTATCCATACAAACAATGCGAAAAAATTACACTCGGCCATTACTCCAAGAAATTTGAAAATTGATTTAAAACTAGATTCGTTGATCAAGCCTTTTCAAAATAGAATGCTGCGCGCCAATGGATAAAAAGCCCACTGCTTATCAGTTTATCAACACCGGTCACGTGACGAAAGTATAGAGAGGTTTTAAGGGGACACCAACAGTGCCAATTTGTTAACCGTTGTTTAATTACCTATTATCATAAGCACAAATTACTTTTTTTTTTGTCTAAAGTTTTTTTTAGATTTTTTTTTAAATATTAAATAATCATAAAGCAGAATTTGATATTACCCGAAATACACAAATGACTTATATACACAGACTAATTTCCCTTCAGAGGCACTCAGTACATAATAATTCGATATAATTCACATGTGCAAAACATGTGCAAATGATGCGATTCCCGATTATTCCATATTACAACATATGTCAATATATACCGTGAGATACACTTAATATAGTCTGTTAATTGGGCAGGCGGGGTGAAACTCCGACTTATGCAGATAATATGATTACAAAATTGGTAAATTTCATTACCTTAGATAAACAGTGATTAATATTCGATTACACGTGCACATTAATGAAATTAACCGTTGCGAGGGCAAATAAAATGCACCATTGTATAATATGTTTGGAGCAGAATGTAAACATTGATTTTTACCACTCTTTATGTCGTGTGAAAGCTTCAATGAACGACATTTGCATTTTTGTATATATCTCGAATATATAAGTGTGGATGTACCACAAATGTAAGTATAGTTCCCTTTACTTACTTTTTTTAAAATAACATGTGTTGGCAATTTTGGTAATGCACATGTGGTACACATTAATTGACTTACAGCGGCTTCGAACATTTCTTTTCATGACAGAGAGGGCAATTGTATTTTGCAATTTTATACATAGACACATATATATATAGCTTCTTTTCAGAGTAATTTTTCATAATTAACCTCACAAACAATACTCGTGTATCTATAAGCATGCATTGAAAATAAACGTGAAACAAAAAACGAGTATATATCTACTGAGCTGTATATGCGAAATTGATTCACGTTTACCCGGCCTTTGATAATAATCAGTACAGTCAAAAAACTGATAACTTTGCACATGTAGATATGTCTACTTGCATGCATAAGAATTTTTCAGTATCGTTATTAGTGCTTTCCTATTTGCAGATCTAATTTTGAAGAAATGGCAACATATATGAATGATGGCGTACTGACAGAAGGTGGCAGACTGTTAGTGTACGTACAAACACTACTTTAATTAGTTTCATTAAACTTAGGAATCTAGATTTAGTTTATAAAAACTTATACCTTATATATATTTGTATTTATTTAGTAAATGCATTTCTGTTAGAAATACTGGCACATCTTTAATCTGTCTTTTAATAATAATGCTTGTCACCTTTAAAATTTGTCACGAGAAAGAACTTAAAAGTTGTTTAGTAAAACATCCATAGAGAATTACTGGGCCACACAATGAAATTTAATTAAGTTCTGTAAATTTCAGGTTTGATGAGGTCACATTGTTAAACTGCCAAGAAACTGAAAACCAGTGGAAGTGTCCAGTGGCCACGTGTGGGAAAGTGCTTAGCAGAAAGCAGACGTTAAAAAGTCATGTTATGTCATTACATAATTTGGAATGTAAGTACAAAAAAATATTAGTATAAAACTTCCGCAAAGTAATCTGAAGCACGTATTAAAAAGGCTTTTATCTCGGAGAAACACGTACTAATTTATAACTTAGTCTACTTAAACTCATATCAATTTTCAATCTGTTTAAGGTACTACTCCAGTGAAGCAGTACAAGAAATATGAACACGATCCTTCGGTAGAAGTTCCGAGAGCTACTGTGTATTACAAGAAAAGGTAGTTAATATAATGTGCAACTCTATATTTGAAGGTCCAATACTTAACGCCAGCAGGGTATCATATTTAAGCCAGTAATTTCATACTGTATGTATTTTTAACCAAATTTAAGTATGTTATATAATGTATTGCAAGAATGAGTTGTATCTTTGGCAAGACTGCACTTACAATAAACTTGAGCCTGTTTCAAATCAAAACGACTACCCGGTCTTTTAAAGTTTCTATAAATTGTAAACTATTTTACTATTGTCTCTAAAAAATGATGAAACATTCTTTACAAATCATCATATTTTTAACTAAAACAGGAAAACATGCACCACTGAAACACGTACACTCAGTACAGGTCTCGATGATTATGCAAGCTACCCCCGGCGAATAACATCGTTCAATATGCGGCTGTTTCGAGTTAAAATAATTGGGCGTCATAGCCGGAACAATTTTCTTTTTAATGTAAAACCTTTAACGATTAGATTTTTTTATAACCGATATTACATTATTTATAAACACCGAAATATTTGCATTGGGTTTTTGAAAAGAAAATGCTAAGTATGTTTTATAATCGGTGATAAAGCATATTGATCACGCTAACATATTTAAGTCGGTCGGCAAATAAATTTGAAATAAACATATATACAACACAAAAACAATGAACGTGTAGACATAATTTCGATCGAATACAATAACTATACGTTTCATGTACAGCAAAAACCGTTCAAACGTTTTTCATTTGATGATTAACCTTTGCAGAATAATTTTGTTTCACTGCATCCTCGGTTTTTATCATCTCTTTTATTCGTTGTATCATAAGATCAAAGGACACATGCCGACTCCACATTGTACATGCGAATTTTTCTTTGATCTTACTAAAGCACATGGCACAAAAATACCGCGATATTTGACAGTTTGAGACATTTAAAAGTAAAGTAGCTCTAGGGAATTGTTTGATAATTTTACATAATGATCTAGATAATGCTATAAGTAAGTTTTATTTTCGGTGATAAAGCATTATGAATACGCTGTACAATGAATTTTCAGTCAGCAATCAGTTTTGAATTAGATCTATATAAGCATTAAACACAATAACAAATAATGACATTTATTTGTATAATAAATTCTTTCAATTATTCCTCAAGGAATAATGACTATATATCTGTTTGTCTTTTTAAAACATCTCCTTAATTCAAAGTTTCAGCAATAAATGTACTTGCCTTTTCAAGAAATTTCTATGCATATTATCCATTTCCATAATGGCCATCTTTATGAGCTAAGAAAAAATATCAAGCTTCTGTCAAAGCTATTTATAAAGATGGTCAACCTGTAAATTGTAAAAGTGGAGTCACATTTCACATTTCTTGAAAAGCAATGTTGACGAAAATTTGAATTAAACGAGTTTTTTTAAATAGAAAAACAAGTTCAATAATCTGTCCCATTTTCCAGCTCTCAAAAATCGATCAAAGTCATATTATTTGCCGCGAAGTTTGGAGTGAAAAAACGTTTAAACTGCCATTTTCTTGCATAATCATCTATCAATATAAATTCAATATGTATTAATTATCATTCATTTAAAAAACGCTAATTGCCACGAACTATATAGTTGCTCATACTCACATTCTTATAAATGTTTGCTTACTCATATAGGAAGATGCAGACAGAAGGTACTGATCAGGAAAGATTGCATACAGGCGCTAGCAGAGATGAAGTCACTGATACAGTAGAATACCATGACATGGATATTGATGATGATGCTATGATTCTGGAAGAAATACAACCTAGCAGTGCTGCTTGTCAAATTGATAACACAATACCAAACGAACAAGAGGCACAGAAGCACGTGCCATTATATGTTATAAAGTGTCATGAATGTCCAAATGGATTGTATAAATCCAGAATTTCGCAGTCGGACCATGAACTTGCTGTCCTATCGTTTACATCTAGACACAATCTTTCTGACAAAGCTCTCGAAGATTTACTTTCGCTTATTTCTCTTTACCTACCACACAATAGCCTCGTCCAAACAGACATTAACAAATTAAAAGAACGATGTGGATTTGATAGT